AGCTCTTAACCAACTGAGCCACTCGGCCGGCCCGAAGATAGTTTTATATCAGAAAATAAAGAGTTTCCTTATCCTGTTTACCACTGTATAGAATACATTGTATGGGTATACAGTAATTACACCCATAATCAATTTAGCCAGGCCCCTATTGATGGACACTGAGGTTGTTTCCACTCTTTCACTGTTGCAAACAATGCTGTATGAATAGCCTCGTATATAGGTTGGTGGGTGGACGGAAAGGCACAAGGGGCTCTACAGGGCAAAGGAGCCTATGGGAGGGGCCTGATTCCCTGATCCCAGCCTGGCCTAGTCCGTCTTCCCCTGGCTCTGTGCCCACCTGGCCTCCTCCTGCTGCCTCCTCCTCTGCATTCTGAGCTCCTGATATCGCCAGACAGGAAGGGTCAGTCCGCGATGCTCTGCAGGCCTGGGCTCTGGCTTGCAATGGTTGGTAGATGAGGGTGCCTTGGAGAGGAGGATCTTGGGGACTTGGGGACTGGTACTGTCCCTAGGCTGTAGCCACTGAGGGCACATGCTCAATGCACCCTGAGGACTCTGGTAAGGGATGAGGACGTGGAGGCCAGGGACTATCTGGGGGGGCTGCAGTACTGGGGGAGGGGGAGGAGCAGTGCCTAGCAGCTGTGGCACAGACTTGCTTTGGGTGCCCAGTGCAGGTGGGCAGTCAGGGCACAGGGTGTGGCAGGCAGTGGTGAGGAAGGGACTGGCCAGGCTGGTCGTGATGGTCACAAGGTGATCCAGGACGCCCCCCTCTTGAGGAGATTGGGCAAAGGGGAGGCTCAAGGTGGCCTGTAGTCTCTCTAGGAGAGATGGGGCAGCCTGGGGCTGGGTCACGAGCCCAGACAAGGCTGGCCACTTCGGTTGGTAATGCTGGCTGAGCTTCTCTACTTGGGGCCGCTGCAACATCTGCCGGATCCTTTGCACGGTGTTGAAGCTGTCGGTCAGCACTGCCCATTCCAGAACCTTCTTGCCCCGGACAGGATTCACTGCTGTCAGGTCAGCACCTGGGAGCAGGCACAGGGGTGATGTGGGTGGGACAGGGATTGGTGATTTGCCAAAGGGCAAATTCTTTAGCAGATTCCTTAGCATCAGGACTTATTTGGGTTAAATTCAAAACCAGAGTCCCATTCTGTTGCAGCCCTTAGTGTTACATCACAGGGACAGGACCAGCCCCAGATCCCAACCTCCCATTTGAGATTGGTGAAGAAACCTAAGTACAGAGAGGGGAAAAGACTTCAGAGAAACCTATGGGGTGTTTCCAAACCTGGAGCAGAATAGGGACCCCCTGAATCAAGGAACTGACCAGAGAAGTGGTGTGCAGGTTGCCCAAGAAAGGGGAGGCCCAAGCTGCACCCTTTGGGGCAGGTGGATGGAGGGAGGTCCTGCTGGTTCCCTCTCTTGGTCCTTCTCTTCATAACTATACCCCTCTAATCCTGGATGGGGGGAGTAGGAGTCACTCTGAGACAAAGTTGGGGGTGCAGAATTCCCTCCCTTCTCACCCCAAACCCAATCTGATGGATGAGGAAGGGAAAAGCTGGAGGCTGGGGTCCCCCGAAGTGACCAACAGAGGGCAGCCCCACCTCAGGGAATAATGAGGGCCTGTGCCTCCACAGCAGTGGACTTCACCCCACAACAACTCCACACGGCCATATGTCTCAACTACACATCACTGTGGTCCTGGACTCCTGGCTTGTCAGAGCCAGAAATCATCCCACAAAAGCCAACACCCTCATTATACTAGTGAGGCCCAGAGAGGGAAGACATCTGCCCAGGGTCACTCAGCTAGTGGCAGAGCCAAGATGAGAGTGCAAGAGTCTGCTTCCAGATACCAGCCTTTTTTATTTTAAGTTCTCCAGATGGTATAGGTTATCCTCCCAAATTTTCTTTTCTGGGACCACCATTAGCAATGTAAATAGAGCTATCAATAGCTGGATTCTGTTGATTGTGAGAAGCCCAGGCACACTCCCCTCTTCCAGGGAGTCAGGCTAGATTGATCCCCCATCTCCACCTCTCTCCTCTCTGCAACGATGACAGCTGATTTAGCGTCTGTTGGGGGAGGAACTGGAGGCCACGAATCCCGGTCCAGGCTCTATGCACCTGCCATGAGGAGGGCAGCCACGCATTCAGAGCGGTCCTGCATGGCGGCCTTCATCAGCGCTGTTAGCCCCCCAGGTCCCGGCGCTCCAGGTACAGGCGGGCGTAATAGTTGAGCAGGAGACTCACCAGAAGCACATGGCCTACAGAGCACGGAAGGCAGATCTCAGCTCCCCTTGAAAGGAGCGATGAAACCCTAAACCCACCCTCCACCCAGTCTGAGGTGGGAGAACATCATGCAGAGAGTGTGGGGCTGTGGCCCAGTATGGGGGGGAGGGGATTGGTAGAGGGCGGGGTCAGCAGCCTTGCACCTGCTTGGGCAGCCAGCATGAGGGCTGTGTCTCCTTCTTTGTCCTGCTTGTTCACATCCAGGAAAGGACAACGGCTGAGCAGGGCCACAACACTCCCGAAGCCGTGGTAGCATGCAACCATGAGACCTGTCTGGAGGAGAGGCAGCTCAGCCCATGTGCTTTCTTCCAGGAGTTCCTGGGGGCGCCTGTACCCTCTAAACATACTTCGGTCCTAGAGATGTCTCAGCCCCTGTGAAGAGCCACTCTCACCCACTCCCTTCCATCCAAGGACCCAGGCAGTGGGTGTTGACCCTGAAACTCTCTCAGGATGAGGGTGGTGTGGTGGGGACACAGACCTGCCTCAGCGGCCCTAGGAAGCACCCCGGGTAGCTCACCCTCCCATTGCTGTCCACCTGGGTGGCCTCCTCAGGGGAGACCCCATCATCCAGCATGGCTTGGAGCTGGGCAGTCATTGCAAACACAGGCCCAGTACAGGGCCCGCAGGCTGCAGCCTGGGGCAGGGGTCTCATTGCCGGGGCAGGACGGTGCCTCAGACATGTCCAGCCCCCCCCCCTGCAGTGGCAGCTCTTCCTCTTCCAGCCTGGGGGGCAAGAAGGAGAGCCCCCCTTCCTCATGCAGTTGACATCTATAATACAGAATGGAGGGAAGCAGTGTCACCCTGAATCCCAGGGAGGATTCAAAGAGCTTCTGCAAATAGCCTAATCCTTGCCCAGGAGAGAACCTTCTTCCATTGCGGTGTCGGGCTCCATCCAACTTTGAGGGAGGACAAGTGGAGGCAGGGAGTGCTAGCGGCAGTAGCCCCCAAAGGGAAGAAGCGGTTCGCTGTAATTGAGGATCCCAGTAAAATTCGAGAGGGGTGATCTTCTCTTTCCCATGGGGCCTTACCTGGGGTTTGGAGGCTCCCCTAGGAGGCAGTTATTGCTGGAGCCCACAGCATCCCCCAGACTCCTGGGGGCACATTCGCCTGGTAGCTGGAGCGCTGGAGGTGGACTACCAGGAAGTAACGCAGGTGACAGATGGCTAGACTTATGGAAAGAGCTGCTGAAAACACCCCGTCGTCGCTGAGCTGGACCAAGCCGGGTTAGTAAGGATGGGGGCCGGGAGGGCGGGTGCTCTTCTCTCCAGCAGACCAAGACCTGTCCTAAGGTCCTGTCCGGAGCGGGCGGGGCCCGAGTCACGGTGCCTCCTCTCCCTCGGAGGTGGCTCTGGGAGTTAAGACCCTCCTCTTCTCTAAACGCGCTCACCTTCCACCTTCTGGGAGCACCAGCTGCACCAGAAACAGGCCCTTCGAAGGTGGAAGGGCCATGAAGTCTCCGAACCCAGTCTAAAAAGCCTGAAGTCCCCTCCTTTTTTTTCCGGAGCGGGACTTGGTGAGGTCGTGGTGGTGCGACAGGGGGCAAGTGTGGACATCTCACTAAATGGGGGCTGGCTGTGGGGTGTGTGTGTGTATGAGTCTGTGTTGGAGGAGCGGTGTTCAGGGGGTCACCTGGACCTATTTTTTGAGGTTCTGGGGAAATTGAAACATAAAGAATTGCCTAATTGGGAGTACAGAAATTATGATATATTAAGTTTAATGGACTAGTTTTGGTGTGGTAAATGAAATATGAAATATTTAAATTGTATTAATATATAAATACATTAATTTAATTATTTAAATTAATGTATTTATAATTATGTGTTAATTTAATAATACATTTTTATTAAATAATTCTTTAATATTAGTATTAAATTTAATGGATTGGTTTTGGACCACAGATGTAGAAAATTGAGCCATTCATTACTCTGTTTTTACCACTCTCAGCATCAGACTGTACAAGATCTCTCTCTTGCTTTATTTTACTTTGTTTAATCTCTTTTATCTCTGATAATGTACATTTCCTTGAAAAAGATGGTATTGATTTGTGTACATTTTAACTAACACCTTAGAATTGTGTTACATTTTTTTCACTCAATGCTATGTTTTTGAGACTTACTCTTATTGTTTTCTGTGCAGTGTATCAGTTAGGAGTGCCTTTGGTTGTAAGTTACCCAAAGCTGATCTCAGTGGTGTGATGGCTGCCATAGGCTGGCTGCTCCACGTTAATCCAAAACTCCGTTTAGTGTTTCTTCTGAACTGCTGAGCTGGAAAGCTAAAACAACCCCTCCCAGATTCCCTTGAGCTAGGAATTTATGATTTAGGCTCTGCTCTTGTGCAAGACATAAATTTGGAACAGAGCTAAATAACATGGGACATCCGTTTTGCTGTCACAGATCACGACAGATGCAGTGGGGCTCTGGTGAGCAGCTTCCTGATGCATCAGCTTCCTGTAGTGGTAACTGTTGTTTTCCTGATCACAGACAGAGATCATGTGCCTCTCAAAGCTGGGAGTTGTTCCTGGATCTAGAGCCTGCCTCTCCATCCCTTTATGTTTAAACTTGCCAGATTTATTTCTGTTGTCTGAAGTTGAACCCTAACCAACACAAGTGACTTAAACAAGGAGAGGTTTATCTTTCACACAAAATAAAAAGTTCCAGGATAATAATAATAATTGGTGTTCATGTAACTTGATGATGTCAGGGCCTTCCCTGGGACTCTCTTGACCTTTCCTTACGGTCACAAGATGGCTGCTGTACCTCTAGCCATTACAGAAAATGCAGTGGATGCTCTCTGGAATTCTGTTCAGCACTTGGAAGACATCTACTAGGTTATGTGTTAGACACTGGTGATTAGATATACAATCCCTATCTATAACCCTCCTTTTCTTTTCTTTTTTTTTTCTTTTGAGTTTCTAATTTTATTGCAAATAACTTACAGGACTGAAAATGATTAAAATGTCACACATTTCTACATTAATAAGCACTATGCAAAAGGATCAGTTACAACAGAGTAATTTAGTAAGATTAAAAAGAGTATTTTATTTTTTTTAAGATTTTTTTTTATTGCGGAATTAGGGGAGGGGAACAGAGTTGGGGAATCGGGGAAGGGGAACAGACAAGTTGCTGTCCTTTTGTTCTTCAGTAACCCCCCTTCTCTTTAGTCACCTTTTAGTTAAGTGTGACCATGTAACAGTTTTGGCCAACCAAATACAAACAGCAGTCTGATCGGTGAAGCTCCTAGAAAAACTTTGCTGCTTTGATAAAAGATGTGGGGTGTGCCTTTTAACCTCTTTCTTTCTTCCCTCTTCTTCCTGCTGCATAGAATTTCGTAATTTGCACCCAGTACATTTTACTTATCTACCCTTCCAGTGTTGGATGCTTGGGTTGCCTCCAGCTTCCTGTCACTACTAATAATGCTGCAGTGAACATCTTTGTACATATCTAGTTGTGGACCTGCAAGAGAGTATCTCTGAGATGGCTGGGTCCTAGAGCACATACATGTTATTGACCAGGTACTGTCAGAGTGCTCTCTATTTTGCAGTGTAGCCACCAGCAGTGCATAGAAGTCTCCCTACATCCTTGTCAACACTTGAAATTATTCAGCCTTTTAATTTCTGTCAATCTGATGGCACAGAACTATAAAGTGATGTTGCCATTTTACATTAGGTTTTTATGGTTATCAACAAGGTGGGCCTCTCTCCACGTACCTGATAGCCATCCTTGTCTTCCCTCCTGCAAATCGCCTATTCATAGCCTTTGTCCAATGTTCTATTGAATTTTCCTGTCTTTTTCTTTTTTTTTTTTTTAAGATTTTATTGGGGAATTGGGGGAAGGGAACAGCATTGGGGAATCGGGGAAGGGGAACAGACAAATTGCTGTCCTTTTGTTCTTCAGTCTAGTTGTGAAAGACGTCTGTTTCACTGGCCCATGTTGGTATTATCATTGCGCTCTTCCCGGGTGAGGCAGTCGCTCGCTGGCCATTGGATGGCCGCTCATGGCAGCTGACGAAAGCGCACGCCAGCTGCCGGCTAGCCATACTGCAGCCTACGCCGTCGCTGGCAACTCACGGCAGCCCAGCTCCAGGTCGAGCTGTTGTTCACCATCTTAGCTGTAGAGGGCGCAGCATCACTGGCCCATGTGGGATCCAAACTGGGGCCCCTGCTGCTCAGAACTGGTGTCCCAAGCCAATTCCTAACCAATGAGCCACTCAGCTGGCCCGAAATCCTGAATTTTGATGTGATTAAATTCATCAAAATTTCTCCTTACACTTTGCTTTTGGGTCTTGTTTAAGAAGAATTTTCCACTCTAAGATCACAAAGATCTTCATTTCTTGTATTAACCTTGCAATTTTCTTTTTAATATTTAGTCTTTAATCCATCTAGAATTTACTTTTATATATGGTATTAGGAAGAGATCTGTTATGAGCTGAATTGTGTCCCTGTAAAATTCATATGTTAAAGCCCTAACCCCCAATGTGATTGTTTTTGGAGATAAGGCCTTTATGGAGATACTGAAAATTAAATGATGTCATACAGTGGGGCCCTAATCTAATAGGACTGCTGTCCATTTAAGAAAAGGAAAAAACACCAGAGCATGCATGCATGTGCTCCCCTCCCCACACTTCCCACCCATGTGAGCATAGTGGAAGGACCATGTAAGGACATAGTGAGAAGACAGCCATGTACAAGCCAAGATGAGTCCTCACCAGAAACCAACCTTGCTGACACCTTGACCTTGGACTTCCAGCTGGCTGAACTGTGAGAAAATAAATTTCTGTTGTTTAAGCCACCCAGTCTGTGGTATGTTGTTATGTCAGCTCAAGGAGACTAAGACAAGATGATAATTTCTCTGGACCTGTCATTCAACTTACTAATTCTCTCTTTGGTTGTATCTAATCTGCTGTTAAATCTGTCTACTTAATTATTTTCAAGTTCTATGATTTCAAACTTTGTGAAAGGAACTGACATTGTGATGTCAGGCTAAATAATAGCCCCCCAGAGATGTCCATATCCTAACCCTCCAAACCTGTGAATATGTTCCATTATGTGGCAAGAGGACTCTACAGATAAAATTTAGGATTTGTAGATTGGGAGATTATCCTGGATTATCTGGGTGAGCTGGATATTGCCGATAGTCTTTTTTCCTTTTGTATTTAGTGGGGTGTTTGTTTGTTTTTTACTGACCTATTTATTTTCCTTGTAAATTTTTGCTGGAAATTTCTTGAGGTTAAGGATGAACATATCTTCTTACAGAGAGCATGACTTTGCTTCTGCCAGGCAATTAGAGGTACTACCAGTCCTAAACCACTTTAAACTGAATTCCTGACTTGGAGAGTTTGAGATCACCCAAGATAATGTAAATTTGGGGCATAGGTCAGATCAAGGATCAGCTAGTGGTTACAGCTCAGGGATAGACCATTTTCATCAGTTTAAGCCTGAATCAGCTTTCCTTAAAGTCTCCTGGAGGTGACAGTGGGGGTAGATTTATTTCATATTCAATCTCAAACATTAAAGGCATACCCTTTGTCTTTAAAGAAATCTCCTATTAAATTCCTTATCTTGGTTTTCTAAAAGATAAAGACTGTGGAAATTGAAGCTCAAGTTTGCCCAATTCAACAAATGTCCTCAGATTAAGGCAGATTCCTTGTTCTGTTTCCCTGAGTTCCTGCCTTCCCTTAGATTGTAACCTAATAAATTCTTGCTGTCTAGCCAGCTCTTCTATGCTTTTAAAATAATTTGCATTTGTATTTCAACTAGCACTTTTACTGTT